CGATAGTGAAGGGGCGTTAGTCAGACTGTGCATTTGGGCCGACGCTGTACTTCGCACCCTCCGTTTCCGCAGAACTACTATCCCGCAATTTGACTCATTGGAACGTAATAATTGCCGTTGGGATTCCTGCTTAGCCAGAATTGGCAATCACTGTCCGGTGGCTCTGCAATGCTGTAGCGGGAATAAACCCAACAAACTCGAGACTGACCTGGGATGGCATGCGTATAAGAGGTGTATGCATTAAATGGGCTCATGCTGTGTACTTCAAACTTTCACCACCACTAACATCCTTTCATGATCACTCAGCTAGCGCTAAGCCATACCTCACACACTAGCACGGCTTATCACAAGTTGAAAGAGGAGGCGATGGCTGCCTGATTATAATGGACAACTTTTAATATCCAATCAAACATCGCGTAGCCAACATCACCAAACGTCAACAACACAATGACCCTTCAGTGCCATTTTATATAAAAAGGAACCCGTCTGATAGATCGAGTTCGCACTGGATAAGTCTATTGGCCAACCTAAAGAACTTCTTACCCTCCAAGAACGAATTTCAGTTTCTCGAATCTTGTATCACGCCATGGCAGACAGCGCTCCCAAAGAAGCCGAGCCGGAGCGGCGCGAGGCTCTTGACATCCTCGAAGTCAAAGCCTCTCAGTTGGTGAATTTAATCAAGAAGAGCAAGCACTTCATTGCCTTTACCGGTGCAGGTATCTCTACCTCTGCAGGTGAGCTTTATCCTCCATTGATATGAGATGCAAGTCGCGCGATTCGGCTGGGCCGCCCTAGTTGCTTGGTCTACATCATCAAAAAAACATTCAGGGCTAGACAACGGTATCTTAGGAATTCCCGACTTCCGCGGACCTGAAGGTGCCTGGACACTCAGAGCCCAGGGAAGGCAGAGAACGGGCAAGACGACGGACACGCTCCAGGCCATCCCTACCAAGACGCACATGGCGCTCGTTGAGCTGCAGGACCGCGGCATATTGAAGTATCTCGTCAGTCAAAACTGCGACGGCTTGCACCGGAAGAGTGGAATTTTACCAGTAAGTTTCTGGCTTATCACTGCTGGGGTTCGGAGGGTTGATCAGACAATGGCTTACGCTTGTTATTACCCTTCGTCCAGGAGAAGATTTCCGAGCTTCATGGAAACAGTAACCGCGAGTATTGCAAAGACTGCGGTAAAGAATACCTCCGAGGTATCGTACCCCCTTTTCATCACCAAACCCCCATCATCACTGCAGATACTAACGAAAACCAACCAGACTTCCGCGCCGTAGCAACCTACGAAAAATCAATCCGCGACCACCGCACCGGCCGCAAATGCCCCCTCTGCAACGGCACCCTCCTCGACACAATCATAAACTTTGGCGAATACCTCCCCGCCGAACCCCTCGCACTCGCCCGCTCCAACGCACGGAAAGCAGACCTCTGCCTCGCCCTCGGATCTTCCCTGACCGTGCCCCCCGCCTGCACGATCCCCGAGACCGTCGGCAAGAAGAAGCGCACAAAGACGTACCCGGACGGCGGGACGCTCGTGATTTGTAACTTGCAGAGTACCCCGCTGGATGACCTGAGCGAGGAGCTCCGCGTATGGGCTACGACGGATGATTTGATGGATCGGGTCATGGAGAAACTCGAAATCCCTATCCCGCGGTTTGTGCTGAGGCGGAGGTTGGTGGTTGAGGTTGAGGCGGTAGGGGAGGAGAGGTATCAGCTTACGGCGAGGGGGGTGGATGTCGACGGCACGCCCGCGAGCTTTTTGCAGTCTGTGAGGATGCAAGGGAACAGGCGCGTTGCGCGGACTGAGCCATTTAAAATTCCTTTCCGGGGCGAGGTGGTTGGCGAGACGGAGGTCAAGGTGGAACTGGAGTTTATGGGACACTATGGCGAGCCTGTCTTGGAGATTGGGATGAAGTATAACGGAGAGGAGAAGCTGGAGAGGATGTATCTGCTGGAATATGATCCTTCGACTGGGGCTTGGAAGAGTAGTACACAAGATGATGGGACTTTTGCTAGGCGGGGTGGCACGGCCTGGACAGACGAGGACATGGAGGATTCCCTGATGATCTCGGCCGAGGACGCGGGTGTGCCTAGCCATATCATCGCCTCGTCTGCGGCCAGTGAGGTCATCGACCTAACTTCACCTTGATGTTGCGTGCCTGCTTCTGGAGGACTGAATAACGAACGGTTGATCTGGCATGAGAAGTAGCTCTCTGCTGTTGGGATTTCGAAAAGGATTAAGTATGTCATCTATCTCTTGATGAACGAATCCATCAATCGTAATGAGTAGCAAATCAGAAATGACATCCGAGAACTACAAATATATCATCAACATAGCTGCATGAAAGCAGCATTACTCAATTTTTGTAAGGTACGACTATAGCTATGAACACGCATTACATATCCCATATCCACAAAGTGTCGTGTGAACGTTAATTTTCATGAATTACACATTAAACAAAAGCTCGCTTGAACGTCCATTAAGCATGCGCATGGCTCGTATCAGAGCAGAGCAGCAACTACGACACCAGCGGCTGCGGCCATGATGCCGGAGCCAAGACGCTCAGCAGCGTTGGTGACCTGGACTGGTCCGGTGGTGGTCTTGCTGGGCGAGGCGACGGGCGTCGTGGCAGCGGGAGGAGGGGTACCAGCAGGAGGAGTTTGGGCAGGAGGTGCAGAAGGTGTGCCAGCCGGAGGGGGAACGGGAGTACCGGCGGGAGGGGTGCCAGCGGGTGGGGCAGGGTGAGTGCTCGCTGGCGGCGCGGGAGGAGTGCCAGCCGGGGGAGTACCAGCAGGAGGCGCCGGGTGGGTGCTGGCGGGAGGAGCAGGAGGGGTTCCGGCAGGAGGGGTGCCAGCGGGCGGCGGAGGAGGCGGGCTGCTGGGCGCGGGGTGCACAGTGGTGAAAGTGTGAGGCACGCTCTCGGTGACAGGGCAGATGGTGGTGGAGACAGGAATAGTCTCGGTGGTGGTGTGAGGACCCTCGGGGCAGTTGGGAGTATCAGGAGGGCACTTGGTGATGGTGTGGACCCTGGTAGTGTAAACTGTGGAAGTCGTCCAGGTCGTTGGTGGAGGAGCTGGGTGGGTGGGAACAGGCTTTGTGGACTCCTCGGTAACGGGGCAGATGGTCGTCGAGACGGCGATTGTCTTGGTTGTGGTAACAGGCGTGTGAGGGCAGTTTGTGACGCTGGGAGGGCATCTCGTCACGGTCTCGACAGTCGTAGTGTAGACGGTGGAAGTCGTCAGCTTGCTGGTGCGAGTCTTGGTGTGAGGAGGCTTCTCGGTTGTCGTGTTGGCGTAGGGGGTGGTCGTGGGAGGAGGAGGGACCCAGGTGGAAGACTTGCTGGGGTGAGAGTGATGGCTCTTGGTCGTGCTCTCTCCCTTGGTGCTGCTAACGGCAGTCTCGGTGGTACAATCCTCAGTTGTAGTAGGAGGGGGAGGAGGAGGGGCATGAGTCGTGGGGGGCTTGCTTGAGTGTGAGTGTTGGCTCTTGGTGCTCACGGTCGTCTCGGTGGTGCAATCCTCCGTGGAAGTGGGAGGGGGGGGAGGGACATGAGTCGTAGGGGGTTTGCTAGAATGTGAATGATGGCTCTTGGTGCTCACTGTCGTCTCAGTGGTGCAGTCTTCTGTCGTCGTGCTGTGGCCCTTGGTACTGCTTACAGCAGTCGAGGAGGTAGTGCAGTCCTCACTTGACGTAGAGGTGCTGTGGACCTTGGTCGAGCTGACAACTGTAGACAAAGTAGTGCAGTCCTCCGATGAAGTGGTTGTGCTGTGGACTTTGGTGCTGCTGACGGCGGTGGAAGAGGTAGTGCAATCCTCGGACGAGGTGGAGGTGCTGTGCTCCTTGGTCGAGCTTACAGCCGTTGACGATGTAGTACAGTCCTCAGAGGAGGTGGAGGTGCTGTGAACCTTGGTGCTGCTGGCCCAGGTGGACGATGTGCTCGTCTCAGAAGTGACGGGAGTTGAGGATGAGTGCTCCTTGGAAGACCAAGTGTTCTTGGTTGCCTCAGTGGTACTGACGGTGGTCGGGGGAGCGGGAGTGCTGGTAGTCCATGGGGCCGAGGTGCTGGTGGTGGGAGGAGCCGTGGTGCTTAAGCTGTAGGTGATGCAGGAGCAGGCAGAGGAGACAGCCTTGACATCTCCACCACAGTTGTTGAAGTCGGTGGGAATAGCAGCGGCAGCAGTGGTGGTTCCGTGGAGGAACTCGACACAGAAACCTTTGGCCTCCTCGGCGAAGCGTTCGTCGATGAGGTTGCGGTAGCACCCATCGTGTTCCTGTAATGGGTCAATGGAGAGTTCTCATCAATTGTATAGTTCATCCCATGAAGCAGTGACTGAATAAGACGAAATAGGGAATATGATATGGTGTAGTCAAAGTAGACAGGGGTATGAGGAGACGTACACAATAGGGGTATTCCCAAGCATTGACGGACGCCAGGGCAATGGCGCCCAGTCCCATGTAAAGGCCGCGCATATTGAATCTTGTTCTTTTGAAGCGAATGACAGTGACTTTGAAAGTCTACTAGTTGATTGGAGCGAGAGGACGATTTACTCGTAGCGACCGTGGGTAAGGAGAGAAAGAGGAGACACGAACCATAGTCTCGGCGCGGCGAAGGGGACTTTATCAGAACGTAGACGAGGGTGTGGATGGTTGCCGGTTGCTGGAGGCTACGTCGGGCCACGGCGGGGAGTGATGCATCCATCATCCATCACCCATCCATCCCACCAGGGCGGGCTGGCTAGCAGAATACGAGCTGGAGCCGCAGCACGGCTCGTGGATGATCTCTTGGTTGCCTTTTACCCATGTTCCCACCCAGCCATCGCACGAGATGAGGCACCATGTCGATATGCAAGGTAACAGTAGTGCCCTTGCTGTCAGGCCGGGCTACATCATGGCCATGGCATAGCTGCCAGTAGGCAGAAGGTTGCGCCGGTTGTCTACTAGCGAGCCCAAGGCCACTCACACCACGTAGGGCGAGTTCAAGGTTGACCAGTCACCGGTCAACCGTCGGTGATTCTGTCGAGTTTGGGTACATGGCGTATAGGCGATGGTGGCGCCCGTCAGCTCGTACCGATTTGGACGGACCAGGAATACAGCACTCGTAGAAGACGGGCGGAAGTTGACGGCGAGATATGGTCGCCATGGTGAAGGAAACCACCCGGAGAAAGCCGGGTCTGTCAGAGACGGGAGTGACTCTGGATTGGAAGCAGTGCTCGAGAAGTGAAGGGCCCGGTGTTCCAGTGATGATCTCAGAGGGTGGAGATGGCACCAGGAACACGGTGGATAACTTGCTGGAAGAATCTGGAGGATCTTCAAGCATAAGGAGAAGCGGAGTTCGATGGAGCAAGGTTGTCGAGTTGATAACCCTTGCGTTGCTCCGGTCATTGGACGGTTGTTTCGACGTTTGTCGACGGCGCATCGGCCAGGTCCACAAGAGGCAGTTGAAAGTGGAGTTGATGGGTGAAGTTTCTTTGTAGGCTTGCAAAGTCTGTTTCTTTTTCTTCCGCTGGCCGCCTCCAACGGTGCGGTTCGACGGCGTGGATGGCGTACAGTAGACGGGTGGACTCGAGGTTGGAATGACAACTCGCGTGGGAAGAAGACCGGCGGAAAATCCAAAAGGTCCCATCTTCCTGCCTTCCCAAGTTTCCCCCCTGCCTCATGGCTTTCGCTTAGCGTGCTCTAGCCAGGGGTAGCCTAGCCTGTCGGATGACCGAGACGACCGATCAAAGCCAATCAGTGACAGCCTTAGCCAAATTGGGACGGACATGTGGGGCATCGCCAGCTCTATCCGGTGGGGCACTCGCTGCCTCGCTGGGCAACTGCCAACTCCAGGAAAGCATCGCGCCTTCCTTGTACAGGAGGGCACAGCTCGGCTAACACGGAAGTCGCCAACTGAGATGTTCTTGCCGTCTACCTTGGGCACCATGTTTCTTTTTTTTTTTCTACACAATTCTTCGAGACTTTGTGCGTCTGCCTACGTCCTGGGAAAGTTAGGTAAGATCGGTACGTATCTTGAATTTATGCAACCTGGAAGTGCGCTCTTGCATTCGCAGCCGGGTCTCCTTTCGCTTCCCCAAGGCTTCTTATTCTCCCGCCCGCATTCCTCGACGCTTAACTTTCCACTTCGCATGAGCTCGACCCAGGTAGCTTACCATGAATACTCAGCATGGTATTCAAGCTTAATGCTAGTCATTCTTATACGATGGGACAACAATCACCAGCTTCCAACCTCTACCCCTCCGTCAGGTGCTGGGCTGGCTTGCCGTTCCTTCCACCGCTAATCCCAATCAGGACACGACAACAGCGTGCTCTCAACTTTTCACTTTGGCCTCACGAACGCTCCCTTCTCGCTCAACTTACGAAAAGACCGAATTACGGCCATGGCCTAAGAAAAGAAACCAAGCTTGAGGCGTTTTGGCACCCTGGCCGCGCCTAATGCACAACGCTGCACCCCGTCGCCTTACTCGCCCACCCTTTCCCGTCTTGTCTTCCTTGCAGCTCGCCGCTTGCTAGCTCGCTGTTCCCCTCACGCCGCCGCATCATGCGTTGCTAGGAGGGTTGCTACAACACCTGTTGTCTTTTGCTCACTCGACGACCTCATTGGAAAAGATCTTTTACCATAGCGAGATGACGATGGACGCCCATGAGGTAATTTCGCGCGGATTTCCACCTCTCCATCCCACCATCTCCTAATACTTACCCGCCTACAGTATTGCTACTCACACTTGACTTTTCTCCGCAGACTGTCGGCACTTTACAACATCATCCCACCATCTCTGGCACGTAGGCTGCCTAGCAGGGTCCGTCGTCGGCTGCCTTCGCCCGACCAACCACTTGCCCGAGTCACCTTATTGCGGCACAGCGCTGCGTCGTCACATCGTCGCTTGACCAAAATCTCACGATGGATACGAGAATCCCCTCACTTCCGGCGAGGGCCGCGGGGTTCCCGCCACTCTGCATCGCATCGCTTCGCCCCATTTCTGACCGACCTTCGTCAACCAAAACAAGCTTTTGTCCTTCACACCTGCAGTAAATCGAAGCGTTCTCACGACGATACTCACCGCAAGTCGACCGTGCCTTCGATGAAGTTCCACGGCCAGTCGATTCTCTATGTGGTCCCAGTTGCACGTACGTCGTCAGTTGCCAGACATGCTATCGCGCTACTCTGGCTGAGATCTGGGGAAGTTGAGCGGCACAACATTCCATCCCATCACCAGTTCCACGACCAAGTCCAAAAACGTCGATCAACCCTCACCTAACCCTCGCACGTGATTCTCGTTCATGGAACTCTTATCGAAGAGACAATCGGCCCCTGGTCCAGGTATGGTAGTTGTGTGGTGGCCGAGTACTGTAGTTTACTTCAGCTGGCAGCTTGGCAATCAAGCCACTCCCTTGCACCCGCAGACAGGCGCAACGTTGCTTCACGTTGAGCCACCATGGCGCCGCTTGAATGGACTGCGCACAGCCAGGTCTCTCAATGCATACCTAGGTGAAGTCTTGGAACAGGGTCCTTGGTCGACATGCAACTCTTTTCGACTGCATAGGTTTGGATCACCGACTGAGACTTCTTCATGGACGCGCCCAGCTTCCCTTCCTTCTAAGTTGGCTTCTGCGATCCCTCGGACCCGCCGGCAAACACGAAGTACAGCTAGGAACCGCTTCCTTCGCATTCATGTTGCAGCCTATCCTTCGGGTGCCTCGGCTTCTTCAATTCTACCCTCCAAGTTGCTTTTTTTCGAATCAGACCATTGTGCTGGACTCGTCTCGTGACGTCAAGTCCCCCCCCCCCCCTTGTTCCACCGGTCACGGTCCACTACGCTAAATCGCCTCGGCCCCGCGGGATTTCCTCCGTGAGTGCTAGGCGGGCCAAGACCAAGAGGCCCCGAAGCCTTCGATTATTTAGCTTCTCTCGATTGGCCACTCACAACACGACATTCTAGTGATACAAAACGCGCTGCCATTGATAGTGTCTCCCGAACGTTTGGCTCTACTTCGCTAGCTGGACGTCGATGTATGCATCTCGATCTGTTGATTGGACCTCGTCTAAGTCAACTAAGGCGTTATTCGCCTTTTTTCTTTTCTTTTTAGTTATCGACATCAACGAACTCGTATCCACAGCCTTCAGCTATGATCTAGCAGAGTTAACCAGATTGGCTGCTACTGAGAGGGAGAGACACAACGAGTCGTGCAGGGAAGCTGGGACTAGATTCAACGCTACAGTCCCCATTTTGCGATCGATGACTCTAACCCATTCGCGACCGTTGTCGGAGCAAGAGTTGGTTTTACTCCAGAAGCGTCAAAACTGGAAAAATGGCAGCCACATTTGACATTCAAAAAGGAGTCAGTTATCGGTAAGCGATAAGATATCCAGTGGTCCTGGTGTCGCGAATGACGAAGTGAAATGAATATGTGTTGAATACAAGAAGTCTTCAAGGAACTTACTTTATTATAAACCCGCATATACATATAACGCGTAGTATCCCATCGACTGCTGCAAGGCGACAGTACATCCGAGTGCGGGGGAAGAACTAATCAGGCGTTATTCCGATTTATTTCTACTATATCCGCAAATCAAAAAATTCATGTCTCGGAGAATTTGGAGAAAAGCTGGAGACCATTGTACTGTCGCCTTGTAGCAGTCGATGGGATAGAGATTGAACGCTCTTAGCTTGCCTATCTTGTTATTAAACAAGTAAAAGTGCGAAAGATACGTTTTCTCTAGACTATCATTAAGGAAGGCTTGCGTATTTATTTACCGGTTATACCTACGCTAAATGTCGAAAGAAGTCCTTAGAGGCGGCGATACTTTTAAAGGCGTATACCTGCTGGAGGGAACTCGCGTTAGATACGCGGCGCAGGGAACTTTTTGCTAGGCCGAAGTCTGGAAATAGGATAAGGATATAGACGAGTTTTAACTGGGCCGATGGCTTGAGGTAGATATGGAGAGATTGAAGTTGATGGAAGGAACGCTCGAAATTATGGTTGAGCATGGGAAGTGGAAATGTCTGGGGAGGAACGTGGCGATGATGGAACTGCATCAGGTCTTCATCGAGGTATGTCCCTGTCACAATCTGGCGCGTGTGGCTCGTGCGAAGACAATGTGCTGACGCTCAAGGTAGTTGCTGCGAATGTATGATCTGGTCCTGTGTGAACCGACGAAGCCGTGGAAGTCATTGAATTACGGGATGTTCCTGCAGTCTCAGTTCTGGATCGAGGCATATGCCATAAGAGAACACGTATAATGCGGAAACCGTGGGGAGAGTGTCGTGCCCTTGGCTATCGTTGGTCACTACAGACGAACATAGATGGCGGCAAGGAATGTTTGCACTGCCGCTCGTTTCCAATCTAGCAATGAAATGATGTCTGCGTCAATGCCTGTCTCCTTTTTTCGACTTTAATTGGGCACCAGCTAGACCAAACAGGACTGGGGATATGAGAATCGAGAACAGTGCTGTGTGACACTTTAGCATTGTCCATGTACGATTGGCCAGGCTTGAACAGATCGTAGGAGTCGTCCTCACATTCCCTACCAATTGGCCTGGTATGTCGAGCGACGGAACAACTGCGCCGGTCGAGCTTCATCAACTGAGGGTCAGATAGTCGGAGAAGATGTGGCGTGCATGTCCAATTGCGTCCTTCTCAAGAAGTAATCAGTTAGTGAGCGGCGCATTGAGAATGGGCGCGAGAACGTCTGCAAGTGCCAAAGAAGACAAAATGGCGGTTGAGTAGGAGAAGGAGCGGTCAAATACCACAAGCATGGAGGAAGAAGAGAAGCTCGAGGAGGCAAACAGCCATTCCGTGCATCGAGCCGGCAAAGCACGACACCGGCGGGAGGCTGCAGAAAGACTCCCAGACCATCCTGTCCGCTTTTGGCCCCCTGGCCAAACGAAGATGCAGACGAAAAGAAGGAGTCGGGATTCCATCCAGCCTCAGAAATAGCTGTCTTCCAACGCCCTGATCATTTGATTGTTCATGTAAAGCCAGTTTCCCAGCTGCGTTCCCTGTTGGTCGACCTCCATGCCAAGATCTCCGGGCATCGTGAACGACCCCCCGGACATCCAGCTACTTCCTATGTTTTGCCCATCGAATGCGGCGTCCAAGCAAACCTGAGACTCTTCCGTGGAAGGAAACTCCGTTTGAGGTCCATCTTGCGAGCCCAATCCCTGACCTGTGAGTGCTGCATTTTGGTGGACGGAGGACGGCGTCATCAGTGATGTTGCAGCAGCAGTCGCCCAGACGTCGGCACTAGGGTCAAGTGTCTGAGGCGACTCGTTTGTCTTCATCTTGATATAGCTGCAGGCAACGTCGTACAAAACCTGAAAGAGGCGAATCTCCTTTTTGACACCTGTGGAGAAGTCGTCCGCTAATAACGACTGGAGAGAGCCAATGAGCCCGCCTAGACGTTGGAGATCTGCTTCGTTGCACGTCTCGATTACATGGCAGAAGAGAACTGTGAACGGCACGAATGGAGATTGCAAGAGAGCCCTAGTTACAAACAGTGTCAGTCTCGTCCGGCAGGTAGTTGTGTTGGAATGGTCAGAATGTACCAATTCACGTAAGTCTCAAGAAAGTCTTCGTCTAGGTTATGTATGATCGCCATGCACTTTTGGTGTTCTTCGAGGGCTTGGCGGGCGGTCGCAATGCACTCCTTTCCGAAGATGGTGCCCTCACCTTGCTCTGCTGGGATAGCGCGGTATATAAGACAGAAGAGCGATAAGTGAGTCAATCTTTGAGTGCTAACGAAAGCTTCGTAAAACAACTCCCCGACGGCAACTTTCATTGCTTGAATATACCGTTTCTGTAGCGTTGTAAGATTTACCCGTACCTTGAAGAGTCGGGAAGCTGGAGCATTTGATGCGAAATCACTTACATCTTCTGGAGAAACCTTGGTCGTATGCGCCCCTAACTCAGAAGCCAGACGTCTTGCTTTGGCCACCCTGACTGACTGAGGTTGAATTAAGGCAGCGGGACTGTAGATCTGATCATACACCATGCCCTGTAGTCGGGCTAGCTCCGTCCACTTCTGTAACTGGCCAAAGATAGCCTGCTCGGACCTTGGATTAATGGCCATGGGCGGGACGGTGATGTCATTGTCGCGTATGGTCGAGGATCGACCAAGCCGGAGAGAGAGCCCCTTCTCATGGACATATATCAACCAGAACAACTTGAGTTTCTCCCTCTTAACTTCAGGATCGTCATTGATCATAGTGACGATACTATGCATGCCGAGGGTCTGGCTCATGTGGCTGGCTGTGGCTATGAAATTCCATGCCGCAGAGGGTTTGCAGACATCGAGGCAGTACGTTGCCTGTAGAGCGTATTAGCGGTGACAGGTGATGAGTTGTGTAGTGCATGCACGTACAGCCAATGTCATCGCACAGGTAGTGTCCATGGTCGAGGGTAGGTGGAATGGCAGACTCGAAAGGACAGTCTCGAGATTGGCTCGACACATGGTGGCTTGCTCAGTGTAGTCTGCTTTCTCGTCTGGATCTGTTGTGACATTCTTGCACTCCAGGAAGAGCCAATAAAGGCCTGCGTTGACAATTATAAGATCTGCATGGGCTGCATATCCAGGAGAATACACCTTGAGAAAGTAATCTGTGAAGGCAGACACTGAATTCGCTTCATGGTTCCAGAAGAACTTTACACGACGATGCTCTGCAGGAGTATTAGTGTACTGTAGTTACCGTGTTAATGGATACGTGTACCTTTGGCCAGTCTAAGACAAGCGAATGCGGATTGCACAGGGGGCATAGGAAGATCGCGGAGACCCTGGCCCGGCTCGAGAGTTCTGGCATGGGGATAGAGGTATTCGGGCTCTTGCTCCCTCTTTTGGTTTCCGATGGTGCGACTCATAGTGTCCAGGACCGAAGCCATCTCACCAGTGATATCAACCGACGGCTTGTTGCTGACGGCATCTCGGAGAAACCTGTCCGCGAAGGCAGCCTGGGCTGACAGTGATGATTCCCCCTCGTATTCGAGTTTTGGTGTCAAGATTTTGCCATTGTCGCCGCTAGCTGGTGAAGGTACAGTCAGATTTCCTGCCGTGCTGTTGTGAGCAGATGCAGGGCTCACAGATGACGATGAGCGATAGGGTTTGGTGGATGAGTTTTGTGGCTGAGACCGGCTGTCTGCATCTCCCAGGGCATGGCCGAGTTCTTCGAGCTTCTTTGCTATGAAGTCAATCTTTCTTTCACTGTTTCCTTGGTTAATCAGACGTCATCTTGAAAGGTCGCTCATCACATACTAGACTTCCGAAATGAAGACTCTTTGTCGTCGTTCTTTGGGCCTTTGCCTCTCGGGATACGTACACGGTGCGTCTATGCGAAGACAATAGGCACACGGATGTCGGCGATCGCATCGCACTTTGCGACGGCGACATCGATCACACTTGATCCGGAAAGTCAGCACACCACGAGCATGACCTTGGAAGGCGTGAGGAGATTTTACGGATATTTTAGACAGTGGAATCTCATCATCTTCATTTTCTTCGTTGTCATCATGGGCCTGATCCATGGCTTCGTGCAAGGTGCTCGCGGTCCCGGGGTCTGCGTCCATCTTGTCATCCAGCGCAAGTGCAGACGATTCCAGCGGATTGGGTCGATGTCAGTGCGGGTGCAGCACGAAGGCGCCGTTGAGATGAACGCGAAAAGAGACGATGGTAGGAGGCGGAGCTGTTGTTGGTCAGGGAGGCGCAGCAAAGGTGCGGAGCGGAGCTCGGTTCCAGCAGCTTGCGATTGGTCGAGCGATGCGATTCGTAACTTGCGACGAATTGAGTTATGCAATACGCAAAGCGAGAGCAAGAACGGGAGAAATAAGGTACGCCTTTTTGCACCAGTGAATCTCTTGCCAGAGGCAGAGAGATAGGCGGACGGTTGGACGGGGCGTACGAGCTGCCCGCGGGACCCGGTTCTCGGGGTTTCTGGGTCTTTAGGCCCCGATATTTATCTCGAAATGACACCTGAAATGACGCGCAGGTCTCAGAGTTGGGTGAATTCTGGCTTTCTCCTAATCCACGTTGTCGAGGTAGCTGAAAACGTCGTGTTCTGTGGGTTTTCTGGGGCATGGGGTGCGGTCGAGGACTCTTGGATTCCCGCACTCCGCGGTTGGCAAGCGCATGGCAGGCGCATGGCAGGTGCGCGGGTAAGGGGTCTTGGCGTCCCGCCCTACCGGCGCCCCAGTGCGGGACGGAAGGCGCTGGGCCACCGGCGCAATCGATCTGCGCGTGAACCTAGACCGGCCCGGGGCGGGGTTAGCCTCCTTTCTCTGCCTGCTGCCCATTTCGGCAGGCGAAGCCATGAGTAGGTTTGTTTTGAGACGCGAGCTTCGTATTTTAGAAAGAGCCTCCAGCGCTGCTTTTTTTTCCGAGCCGTGCGTGAAGGAAGCTTTCCCTGCCCTGTCTTCGTCTCAGTCTTTCCCTTTTCTGCATCTACTACGCGGCAGCGGGCAACTACACCATCCTTATACTTTGCTCGCCCCGTCTGAACCTCGCACCTTTCATCTCTTTTTGATCTCGTCTGCTCCTTCCCACACTTTCTAAGTACATAAATCGTGTGTCTCCTGCCCCCTCTCCCACCGGCCTACTACTCTTGCTCAATACTCGCATTTCTTCGCGAGACGCAGATCAAGCACGATGGAGAAGGCAGGTGTCTCCTCGAGCTCTGCATCCGCCGAATCAGCAAAGATCTCGAACAAAACCGACGGCAAGACGACGACAGGTTTCGGGGGATTTCTGGTGCGGCACTCTTTTTATGTGATGGGACTGGCAGGCAGACGGACTAACACCGTGGCAGAGAGTCTTCAAGTATGGAGAACCGATCGACTATGCCCTCGAGGCAGTCGGCATTCTTGCTGCCATCGCCTCTGGCGTGGCCCTGGCGATGATGAACCTGATTATTGGTGGTATGATGAACCTGATGAGCGACTTCTCATCCATCACGGCAGACCCTGATAAGTTCATGGCCAAAGTCAGCAAGAACGCGTACGGAACCTGTGCAACGCGTCCTGATTCTAAAATTTATCTGACTATTTCTCAGACTCTATTTCGTTTACATTGGCATCGCCCGATTCGCCACGACTTACGTCTACTCCGCACTCTTCACCTACGTCGCCTTCAAGCTTACCCGCAACGTTCGACGAACCTACCTCCAGGCCGCCTTGAGCCAAGAAATCAGCTTCTTCGATCACGGAACTGCTGGCTCTATTGCGATGCAAGCCACTACGAACGGCAAACTGATTCAATCCGGAATCGCTGAGAAGCTCGGCCTTTTCTTCTCCTCCATCTCCACATTCGTCGCCGCCTTCATCATTGCTTTCGTCAGCCAGTGGAAGCTGACTCTAATCATCAGCTGTATTGTGCCGGCGATTATTGTGGTCAGCGGAGGAATGGCAGCTCTCGACTCAGGGCTCGAGACTAAGATCCTCCAGATCAACGCAGAGGCAGGAACCTATGCCGAAAGCGCTCTTGGAAGCATCCGCGCTATCAAAGCTTTCAGCCTTGAATCCCGCATCATGCACAAGTACAGCTCCTACCTTGGCAACTCTCGTGCCATTGGGGCGAAGAAAAGTCCCATCTACGGTGTCATGTTCGGCTGGCAGTACTTCATCGTTTACGCAGGCATGGCCTTGGCGTTTTGGCAAGGAATTGCCATGATAGCCCGCAAGGAGGTGGACGGTGTTGGCACAGTATTCACGTCAGTTTCCCGCGAATCGACGGTTTCCTTCTGCTAACCGCGATTTCTGCAGAGTTCTCTTCTCGGTCATTATCGCCTCAACATCCATCAACGGTATCGCTCCTCACATAATGGCGTTCAGTCGCGCGGCAACCTCTGCTTCCGAACTTTTCGCCTTGATCGACAGGCACTCCGAGATCAACCCCTTCGACGAAACCGGCAAGGTCCCTGACACCGTATCCGGCCACATCGACATTCGAGGGCTTACCTTCAGCTATCCTACACGACCCGACACTCGAGTTCTGCAAGATTACTCTCTCAGCATTCCCGCTGGCAAGGTCACAGCTCTCGTGGTATGTTTTGCGGTCCCTCGAATGTCAGAATCCCACACTAAATACAACGCAGGGAACCAGTGGCTCTGGTAAAAGCACCATTATCGGCCTCCTGGAGAGATGGTATGACCCCGCCTCCGGTTCTATTCACCTCAATGGAACCAATATCCGTGACTTGAGTCTCGGCTGGCTACGCACCACTATGAGACTAGTTCAACAGGTACGGCAAAGCCCACGATAGACATCAGTATATCCGGGAGTGTCAAGTGCTGACCAGCCACAGGAACCTGTTCTCTTCAACGGCACGGTCTTTGAGAACATTATCAATGGTCTAGTTGGAACTCCTTGTGAGACGGCTTCGAAAGAAGACCAGATGGAGCGCGTGAGACAAGCTGCTAAGATTGCGTTCGCTGATGAGTTCATCACCAACCTCACCGAAGGCTACGACACACGCATCGGCGAGCGAGGTGGGTTATTGTCTGGCGGCCAAAAGCAACGCATTGCTATCGCTCGAAGTGTCATCTCTGAGCCAAAGATTCTTCTGCTCGACGAAGCGACGAGTGCCCTGGACCCTCACGCCGAAGGCATTGTACAACAAGCCCTAGACAGCGCTTCGAAAGACCGGACGACAGTGGTCATTGCCCACAAGCTTGCCACAATTCGCAACGCAGACAACATCGTGGTCATGTCCAAAGGAAGAATTGTTGAGCAAGGAAAGCATGATGAGTTGGTAGCACTCAATGGAACCTACGCGAAGCTGGTCAAGGCTCAAGACCTGTCCATCAAGGAGAAGAGCAGCCATGATAACAGCTCTGAGGACGACTCGACCGAGGCGGCTGAGCCTGTTCAATCGCTCGCCAAGTACGACACCGAAGTCGCCCAGCGTCTCACTTCGTTCAAGAACATGGAAGACTTCAAACTCTACAAGCAGACTGGATTGGTCCACACAATCGGTAAACTGATTCGTTCAACCCCGGAGCTTAGGATGTGGTACGGAACGGTTTTCATCGTGTGTATACTGGGAGGTGAGTTGAGCTTAGCGAAGAAGCATCGGCATGAGCTAATCCAGCATCAGCTGCTGTTTACCCTGGACAGACGCTTCTGTTGTCCAAGGTCATGGATGTCTTCTCGTCGCCGGATATGGTCAAGAGCGGTGAATTTGTTGCCTTGATGTACTTCGTCATGTCAATCGGCACCATCATTGTGTATTTCATCATGGGATGGGCGACGAACATTATTGCTCAGGTAAGCTTCTTTGGTTTGTTCTATTTCGCATCGAGTCACTAACTCCTTTGGACCCTCAGCCAGAAAGTCCGCAAAGGTCTCCTGGGCGGTATGCTCAAGCAAGATCTTCGCTTTTTCGACAGAGCAGAGAACACGGTCGGCGCGCTCAACAGTCGCATCGACTCAATGGCCCAAGCTGTGCTCGAACTGATGGGCTTCAATGTCGCCCTCGTCTTTCTTTCCTTTTTCAACGTGGTCGCTAGCAGCATCCTTGCTATCGCAATCTCCTGGAAGCTCGGCCTTGTCGGTGTCTTCGCCGGTATGCCTCCGCTGCTTGGTGCAGGCTTTGCTCGTATCCGCATCGAGACAAAGCTAGACTCCAAGGTGGACGAGAGGTTTTCGAAGAGTGCCTCTCTAGCATCCGAAACTGTCAATGCAATCCGAACGGTCTCATCGCTAGCGATAGAGAAAAGTGTCATCAGGAGATACACCGGCGAGCTGGACAACGCCATCTCCAGCTCGACCATGCCTCTCTTCAACATGATGATCTGGTTCGCCCTTACTCAATCCATTGAGTTTTTTATCCTGGCGCTTGGCTTTTGGTAAGCACACTACTGTTCTCGCCCTCCCGTCTGCTTTTGGACTAACAAATCAGGTGGGGATCTAAACTCGTTTCTCAGGGAGAGGTCTCATTCTCTCAATTCATTGTTTCCTTCATGGGTGTCTTCTTTTCAGGACAAGCCGCAGGCATGATCTTCAGCTTTTCCAGCAGTAAGTACCAGTCCCCGATGGGGACCTTCGATTACTGACCGCATGGCACCATCAGGCTTCACCAAAGCAAACGCTGCTGCAAACTACTACTTCTGGCTCACGAGTCTCGAGCCAACGATCCAGGACACAGATGACAACCAGGAGAAGGGCCCATCGAATGGCTATAGCTCCATTGACTTTGAAAACGTCCAGTTTTCATACCCCTTGGCCCCAGACAGCCGCGTTCTCAAGGGTGTTTCTCTCACAGTGAGTTTTTCCATCTGCTTGAGATGGTCCAGCTCAACTAACAATCGTCAGATCGATCGCGGCCAATTTGTGGCATTTGTGGGTGCTTCCGGTTGCGGCAAAAGTACAATGATCTCACTACTCGAACGCTTCTATGACCCAACCAGCGGGGCCATCACCATCGACAACTCCGCTCCCCTCACGGCCATCTCTCCTCGCCTCTATCGCAACAAACTCGCTTTAGTCCAACAAGAACCCACCCTCTTCCCCGGCAGCATTCGGGAGAACATCGCAGCCGGAATCGATATTGGTCCTGAAGAGCAAGTCGACGATGCCGTAATTGAAGAAGCATGTCGGGCTGCCAACGCATGGGACTTTGTGAGCTCTCTTCCCGAGGGTCTCGACACGCCGTGTGGTCAAGGAGGCAACCAGATTTCAGGAGGACAGAGACAACGCATCGCTATCGCTAGAGCGCTGGTCAGGAATCCCAGCGTCATTCTACTGGATGAAGCCACCAGTGCCTTGGATACGGAGTCGGAGAAGGTGGTTCAAAAGGCTCTGATGGAGGCAGCCGCAACGGGGGATCGCATCACCATCGCGGTGGCGCACCGCCTCTCGACGGTCCGTGATGCCGACCGGATTTGCGTCTTCTACGGCGGGCGCATTGTGGAATCGGGTACCCATGATGAACTGATTGAGCAGGGAGGCATGTACAAAAAGATGTGTGAGGCCCAGAGTCTGGATAGAGCGGCTTAGACGTGGATGTGAACGAACGTGAGTCCGAGTTCGGCGCGGCGATTTTCGTCATCTGCATGGCATGGCGAGCGATAATTCACTTTCACTTCTTGTAAGAATTAAATTTTTAGAATACCCAGGAGTGAGCTGTCTCCTCCGGATTGCCGTAATAGGAAAGTGGTTGTTAAATAGTAAGTCAGAACACCCCCATTCGGCCACCCCCCCCCCCCCCCCCATTCGGCCACCCCATCAAAAGTAGGTCTAGGCACATCGCTACTAACTATAGTTAATTAATTAACTACTTTCTACTACTATTATAATATAATTATTACCCTTATTAAGTAATTCGACTTTTACGGTTTAATTAGGATTAATTAAATACTTATTAACGTCTTTTTAAGCCCTTTTTATATCTTTAATATTAGTAAACTTAGTATTTAAGTTTATTTAAATACTCTTTTTTTTTTAAAAGCTATATACTTAACTCTAGCTTTTAGAACTCGAACTTATTATTAAAATAAAGTTAATGAAAAGGACTTTTTATTAAAAGCTTTTTTAATTTTATAAAAAAGTAAATATTAAATATTATAGTTAGGCCTAAGTTTTATAAATAGTTTTAGCTATTTATAAAAATTATTAGCTTTTTTAAGAGTTAACTAGTTAATAATAAACGCTATAGAGGTTTAATTAATAATTTTAATAATATTAATAATTATTTACTTAGTATTAGTAATATTATTTAATAATATAACTAGGCTAGACGATATTATAAGATTATTAAGAAGTATAATTATATTAAGTCCGTGGTTGTGAACTTTGCAGGAGGGAAAGTTAAAAAGTTGGAAAATCTAAAAAAAAAGTCTAGCGAGACAGTGTGAGTATCCACTGATACCGTGTATTAATACCGTGTAAACGACATCGAGAATCGCCCGAGCAGCCAGCAAAGGTAGAAATAAAAAAACAAATAATTATATTAAGTAGTTATAAACTAATTACTTTTTAAATATTTTATATATTATTTTTTATTAAACTAAGTAAATAAATAATAATATAATAAGCTAAGAAGTACTACTTTTTAATAATAATAGAATTATTTATTATATCCTCTTTACTAAGCTCTTTTTTATAATAGGTTTTAATAAAACTAAAAATAGTTATATTTAATAATTAGAGCATATAAGAGGTATATAGTAATAAGAATAATAAATAAACGTTATTAATATAGTATTTTTATATAAATTCTATTATTATATAACTTTTATACTTATTTAGAATTAATAATTAAGGCTCTAGTTACAAGTTAGGTCCTCTAGTTAGGGGGGGCTAAGTTTATAATAAAAAAACTATTTTTAACTATATAAAAATAGTTTAATCTATAGTTTACTTATTATTTATTATTATAAACTCCTAACTATTAAAATCTTTAAAATTAAGGAGGAACTATTATTATTAAACTAACTTTTTTTATAAATTAGTAATAGTTTAATAGCTTTATTATTAATAAAAATATATTTAATAATAAAGATTTAGGAACGCAATCTAGGCTCTTTTTTCTATACTACGTTAGTCTTAATTATACTTAAAACTAGTTTATTAAATCCCTTATTCTTAAAAATACTAATTTTATTTATATTATATTTATTAACTTATTTAATATTTTTAATTTTTAAGATATTAAATAATCGGAACTAGGGCTTAATTATTTTAATAAATACTTTATTAATACGCTTTAAATCTATAAAATAACTTTTTTAAACCTTAATAAATAGGTTTTATTTTAAAAAAGTATTTTTTATCTTTTTTTAAAAAGATAATTATCTCCCTAAGTTTATAGAACTTACTTAGTAAATTCTCTAACTTATTTATAAATTAATATAATTCTTAAAATATACTAAATATAAACTTATTTAGTTAGCTTATTTTTTATTAAGGGGGAAGCTTTTATTAATTAATAAAAATAATTACTTTAACTTATTAACCTCGTTAACGATTTTAAAATATACTTTTTAAAATACTAAACTTAATCGAGGCCTTTTTAACTAAAGTACTATTTTTAATTACTTTAAGCGCTTAAATAACTTTATTTTTAATATATAATATTATAGTATAATAAAAAATATATATATTAAAAAGAAATTCGTTTAGATAATAATTATAATTATTATAGTAGTTTATAAATTGAGGGTAGGATTTTAATTAGGGGGGTTGGGAGGGATTTTTGGGGTGGCCGAATGGGGGGGGTGGCCGAATGGGGGTGTTCCGACTTACTTTCGCCGCGAAGGAACGACACCTAGAGAGGCGGCCCAGCGCTATTCGACTCACCCACGTCTGTCTGGCGCCTTCATTTCCGTGGCACTATAGTCATATTTATGCATCACCGTCCTCTCGCCTGTCAACCTCCCATCCGGTGGTCAGTAGTTCACGAGCACAATTGCTAAATCTGTAGGGCTAGATCTGTAGAGCTAAATCTGTAGAAAATCAAAAGCAGCCGGTACTCCATGTATGAAGTGCCGGGCACGACGGTTGTCGTCTGGAATGACAGGCTGCCGCACGCTCTCACTACGCAGATGGACTTTGGCCAGCCATTCGCTGACGCATCAAATGTTAGACGTAGTTGATAACATTTCCAGGTCTGTATATCTCCAATCCAAGGCAGTCAAAAGAAGAACGTCAAACGTGCTCTTTGTCACGCCGTAGAGATGAAAGCTTACGCCGGGGTCTCTCACGGCCATCTTAGTTATGCAGTCAATCGAGGACCATCGAGTACTTCTGATGTTGAGCTACCTTACCTTGGCGTAGGTATAAGGTGCGCCTACCTATATGTAAATGATAGTCACCAGTGTACGGTTACAGGCTGCCGTAGCCGGCCCGGCGCCCTGAATGATCTCCCCACGCTCCCCAACACGTTCAGACACTAGTCGAAAACGCCCCACCGCAGCACATGCTAAGCCCTGCAGTCCTGGGCGATCGGTTGGCGGTGTTTTGCAAGGCAGACAGAACCATCTGCACTGTGAAGTGCCTGAAAATGGGCAAAAGGAATGCCAGAGAACCAAGCTATTGCAGCATCTACTAGTTGCGGTTGAACAGGATCATTTTGAGACAAGCACCGAATTTTCATGATACAGACAGGTGCGTGAGGATCTCGTTCTTAGCTACTTAGTCACATAGAGCTCACGCATGTATTATCCAGGCGGGCCAGGAGACAGCCAGGTACCTAACGATGTCTCAATTGCTGCGCCGCATACCTCATTTTTGCAACAAATTCGGGGCTCCAGCGGTGACCAATCAGCGGCTGCCACTCGAACAAAAGTAGAGTGACATGAATTCTCTTCTTCAGGCTTAGTGCCTGATAGCGCTCACTGCCTCCAGCGTATTTTCCAAACTGAGAATAGCCTCCTTCTGTCAGTCACGACGTCACTGTCGCCCACATATACTATATATCAGTTCCTGAGTGACGCCGAGACGCCAAATCTCCCAGCTTCATCACGACCTCGCGAAAAATAGTTGAACGAGGTCATCACCACTTATAACATCCTCAACGCTATCAAAGCTACAGACACAGCCAACTTTCTCCCTCAAGAAAGATTATACAAGTTATTCCATTCCATCAGAGCACTACAATAGCAGCATACCGACCATTCCCAAACCATACCCACCATGAGTTCAATCTCGTCTGGAAGCTCGGACTACAATGACGCGCCACCTGGTTACAAGGAAGCAATCGATTCGGGAAGCTTCGTGTCACCAAGCGACAGCGGCATAATCAGCCAGCTCGACATCCAAGCCATCGGCTATGACACAACCCAGGCCCTCACGGGCAACAAGCTGGAGGATATCCCGGTGTGTCGCGTTGGCTCAGGCGAGCTAGAGTACACATCCATCCGGCTAAAGAAGAGCTCCAACTCCTGCGCTCTCGTCCGCGGTTCCGACTCCAGCCAGACACCTCTGATATCGACAATCTACCGTTGGGGCCCCGGCCGACGTCCCAGAATGAGAATTCTAGCGCCGGGAACTACCGCCACGGTGGAAGAGGCGATCAACTCGGATCACCTCGTCTGCGAGGTAGTCGAAGTCAAAAGCCGCAACATGATGTCGCGCACGCAGGAATTCAAGACGTCTTTCGGCACCTTTGAGTGGCGCTACGGCGGGCGCGACGAGCGCAAGGAAGCCTCCGAGGCGTCCTCCCTCTTGGTCTTGGAGCGTACTGACGACGCTGCCACGGCCTTGGCTGGTAATAGTGGCAAGGTGGGCAAGCACGGCGTCCCGGTCGCGCAGCTTGTGCGCAACAAGGAGCTCCGGACACAAGGCACGAGTCGCTGGATGGGCGGCAACGGCGGGCGTTTGATTATGAACCTTGGAATGTGGGCGGATGATAAGAAAACGACGACTAAGGACGCCGAAGCTTTCGTCGTCGCCAGCTGTATCCTCATGCTCAAACGAGAGGCTGATCGGTTCAAGGACAATACGATTGCTGCTGTTGTATAAACCAAATAAGCTCGGTTGCGCATGGTCGGTGAGACTGCCTATGAGGAGGCCGGTGAGCCGTGATTGGTCTTTTCCGTGGCGTCATGTGGAGGATGAGGTACTCTAAGAAGAGTGGAATGATATCCTGTGAGAATTTTGAACATTTCTGGCACTTGGGAGCTCTAGACGAAATTAAAGTTGAATTACATTGAACATGAAATAAGTCTGATTCTACTTACGGAACATGACCTCCATAAATGGAGAACTTCACACGGTGGAAGATAATTCCCAATTCTTACAATGGCTGGTAATCGTTTAAATTGATTGCAAAGAAACTCTTCGAGCTAGCAAGTTTCAGGAGACTTTTGTCTTTTGACCAAGAGGATTCAAGAGCCATACCTGGACCGTTATCTGCAATTATGGTTTGAGGTATTAATGTGTTCCTGGACGTAGATCGAATAAGGCGCTCTTGAGCCGAAGCGGCGAAATTACATGTAGGTATTATGTAACTATCACGCTGCTAGTTGATGGGATACATCTCCAAGGAACAAGTAGTGTCAATTTACAGACTACACCTTGTATGAGGCAAAACCGTATGACGTTCAAACGAAGACGTGGATGCAAGCCATTCAACTAAACAGATGGAAGTCCTGAAAGACCTGTTTTTTCAGCCGTGCCAGTACGAATATCCCTGGTGCGGGGATATCTTTGCGCTACTAATGAGAGCCACATTGTTGCGGGCAGCCTCTCTGTAGAATGCGGTTCCTACAAGCAAGCCAGCAATGCCATTCAGTGTTACCGCGCCTTCTCCCCTCTTCAATCACGCTACGAGGCACATCCTTTGAATGACGTAAGTGCGGCACAGCTAGGCAAGCGCTTCCAGCTCTGTCTAGGACATCTCGGTAGGGACTTTCCACGAAGATAGATTGAGCAAACAAACCTCCAGTCAGGAGATTCCGATGCATGCTTCCAAAGTTTCAGCTGGCATTGAGAAGACCGACTTGAGTAAGATGAAAATCAACGCGGTATATGTAAAGCAGTGTGAAGCCGAAGTGGACATGCGAGAGAAACGTGGCAACGAGTTTAAATTCAATTTGTTGAGAATCTCTTGGGGATTTCCGAAAGAAACGTATTTTTCCAGTCATCCACAATATTTCCGCTAGAACATAGTCAAAAGGTGCCAGTCCAGACCCGCTAATCCTCTCCCAGATGTTAGAGTTTCTTGCCGTCCTTCCTGGTTTGTTCCCATCGGCAGTTTCCATTGCTGCCCTTTGTAATTTTCCACTCATCATTGTAATCATGGAACTCCGAAGACTTCTCCGGATCTTCAGGATGAGTGCCTTTGCCAGCCAAAAAGGTGACCTCAAGATCCGGCATTACTTCCTCCTGGATGACCTCGCCGGGTAGCTGTTACGTAAATTAGCGCCTTTTTTCCATACCAAGGCCGGACTTTAGGGGTTGCAACGTACAGCCACGACTCTCCAGTGCAGGTTCTTCTTCACATAATCGAGGACGTGGTCCGACCCAAGATGCTTGATGTCGTTCCACCTGTCCTCGTCAATAGCTCTCTTCAATAGCTGCAGTGTCAGAGGCACTTGTCCCTTTGAAAGCTGCTGAATGCTCTCCTGCTTGACGCAGTTGGCACACGCCACTCCGCTCTTCTTCCAGTTCCTCGAGAAGCTGTGGATGCTGCCAATATAGTCCTCGCTCCAGAGATTATCCTGGGGGTTTCCGGAGGCGTTGCTGTTGTTGCTACCGAGGAAGAAGTAGATGATGTAACTTCGGCCTCCAAGAGCATAACGGTTGTACAGAACGTTGATGATGAAGTCGTTATCTAACCCGGCAACGTTCTTGTGCGAATTCTCCTTCAATAGGTTCCTCAGGATGCCGTACTTGGCTGTCAGGCGGCCAATGAGTACCTCAGGGGTGACGGTGGGAGCATTGGATTCCTCCGAAGGCGTGAGGTCGTCGTAGGTGTATCCAAGCTTGGTCCAGTACTGTAGCGCGTCAGAGGTCCAGTGTCCAAAGTTGGCATCGGTATGAAATGGATACAACGGGTCATTGGAAGCCGGGTCGTTCTTCACGTCCTGGCCGGACCACCAGGGCACGGAGTTAAGAGACTGGAAGATCGCAAGCTGACGATCCACGTTGCAATGATGGAGCCAGAAGATTGGGTCAAAGGCCGCGACACCGAGGTCAGCCATATGGCCGTAGCCATACTTCACCGGGCGAACCTTGGAATCTGTAGGCGGCGGCCCCGGCGGCTGGCTTTTAGTACCGTTGGCGGGCGGGTCAGGAGTGTAGCCGACGCCACCCGTGAAGTCATGAATACAATTGTGCAGCAGCTCGAGAGAGAGCCATCCACAAGGACCCTGTTTACCATGTGCAGTTGTCGCAAATTCGGCGAAGTTGTTAAAGTTGCTGGGGACGAAGAGTCGCGAAACCTGTTCGGCAAGCCTGCCGTTGAGCCCTTTAGCATGCTGGACATTTGCCCAAGGCGGTGTCTGTAGTGCAGTATTTACGGCCTGGTTATTGACTATTCCGGAAATCTGTTGAGTCGTGATAGGGTTGTCGAGTCCCCATCGGCTTGTGGCATACGTTTGGTTGGTCTGGAATTGAGGTAAAGAATCATTCTCCGTTAGCTGGCCTGAGACTCTCGAAGCGCTCCTTTTAGGAGAACCCTCACTTACAGGAGGTTCATCAAAGATGGCAAATTGCCCAAAGGTCGTTTGATCGGCAAGAATAGGCTGCATGGAAGTGGTCTTGAATTGCGTCATGTTGGCCGTGCTGAACTGATAGAGCGGGTTCCAATCCTCTTGCGACGTCCCATCTGGCATCTGGATGGTGATCTTTTGAGTACTCGCAACATCAGGGACACTTGGAATGTTGGCCCAGTCCCAGTACGGCAAACGCCAGGCATTCGCTTCGGTCATCCACTGCTGCTGAGCGCTGGAGGGGGCTGTAGGGACGATCTCTTTCGTCATAATCTCCCAAAGGCGCTGCTCGAAGAGAAGCAAGTAGGCACGGTGCCAAGTTGGGAAGATTAACGAGTTGTGTGGGCAATAAAAGTCAGGAGTCTCTGAGCCTCCCTTGTGAGGGTTATTGTAGTGGCCTGGATAGGATTTTGTTACCTCTATCGGGATAGGATCGTTGTCCCAGGACGTGGCCGGAAGGCCATGGATACCGGCGATGCGGTAGTAGGATAACTGATCCATGAAGTCCATGCTCTGAAAGATTCGCAGAGCCTGGATGAAGAGCGATAGCTGGATTGGGTTCTGTGTAGCCCAAGCGTTGATCTCACGTCGGGACGGTGGGGGACCCGTACCCTCAGTCGGGATTCCGGTGATGGCATATGATTGAAATGGTGCAGACATGGTGCTTGAAATTATTTGGGAACTGTTGGGGAGCGATGTGAGTTGTCAGGGTGGTAATGTGCAATGGTTCAAGTTCTGATAGATGCTACGTAGCACATTACTTATACTTTTTACAGACCCAAAGACTTACCAGAAAACCCTCAATATTACATATGGGTTTCTAAGTCCAAAACTCAGCTCTTTCAGCTTTGCCCTGTGGAATTTCTTTTCGCCTTGGTCTGTAAACGAAATTTCTGAAGCGAGTCTTGCAAAGTGGCGAAGACGCCTCTCCATACCGCACTTTAATCATGTCTGACTGTAATCTGCAGGAGAGATAGACGAGCTCAGGTTGCGTCCATGTGATAGGTATATCTAATTTGAGCGATGCGGGAAACTTTTCTCACCCCTTGGCTTGTTTCTGACAACGTGACATCAGATGTGTAAACAGCGGCCTAGCCCCCTAGTTGGTTCCACAGGCGTCCAGCAGACCGTTGAAGTGTTATCACCGTGAACATAGTTTCATGCCATGATTAAGCCAACCACGCGTTATCACACGAATTTAGACGCCTTCTCCTTGCATGTCTGAGCATTCGCGACCCGGTCCGCGTGTCTTACCAGTGTCCCGTTGCCCGGACCGTCAATATCGCCCGGCACGTCGCGGGGTGAGACATGTAGTGCGGCTGAACGCCACGGGATTCGAAAGATTTGATTTTGTAAACAATCACGGGCCTGTATTTTTCAACAAAACTTCCTTGGTATTTCTTACGAGATTGAACGAGGACAAGGCTGTGCAAATCTTCTCAAATGTTCTTGATACCTAGATTAAACTGCCGGCATCTCGTGTCGCTCGTGCAATGATGGGTCTAGCTTCAACCGATCCATTCGTCGATGTTGTGGTACTGTAGGAGATAACAATGAGAACTCAAGTATGTTTGGTCGAGAGTATAGTCATGGCTCATGTGCCAGAAGATGTGAAGAGCTTACTTCAGAAATACAGATGCAGCCTGCAGAAACGAAAGTGTTTGCCTGGCGTCTTTGATTCAAATCTGCTCGTGAGTAGGGCAGAATCAAGAATGCCCTCAAAGAGCTGTTACATAAGCTGGAAACTACGCAATAACAAGATGAAAAGTTGCGAGTGAACCTGAAGAAGATCGGGTACAAGATGAAGATAAGTCTGGTGCCTCAGGTAAGATGCAATGTAGTGCGTGATTCTGGGAATCAATAACGACGAAGCTGTCTTAAAGACTGAAACCAAGAAAAAGGGAAGCTCCCAAAATTTCCAGAGTAAGAGATCTATGGCTGCAGTGCAAGGGTCAGGTGAAGCCAACTGCGGATTCAAGCATAGTTGCCTATAATCCAAGAAGGCTGGAGTAAAACAACCAGGGGAGATGTTGTGCATTCTAGAAATGTCGGACCCTCATAAAGTTCACAAGCATGATAAGTTATTTACAGCTTGGCGGCTACACTTTGTCTGCTTGGAGATGGCCCTCGACTCACAAAGGTCAAAGGGCATTCGAGCAACCCTGTAAGACCCCTTTGGAGCACACTCTACTATGTTTCAATGACAGTGACTCAGAAGCTGTGGACTTGCCTTTTTGTCGACCTTGACCGTTGATAGATTTGATCTTCCCGCTTCTGGCACGTACGAGGTTAATACAGATGGCTTGGGAGGAGGGAATGATGCTGGGCGGGAAGGTTGCCATTGACTGGAGGCAGATCAAAAATAGTCATCAAGACATCCTCCCTTTCAAAGATGCACATCAGAAAACTTCGAGAATCTGTTTCTAATTGTTTCCAGACCACAGACAGCAGCCTTTTCAAGTTGGAACGTTCTGCTCTCAGACTATTTTACCTGCCCAATAGCCTGCATTTGTCAACCACGAAGCATCCAAGCCTCATGGTACTATCACTTGTTAGTCTTCCAAATTCCGACGCATCACCATGGCTCCGCCAGGTATTACCGGTAATTCTTCGCGCAAAAGATCAGCTTCACCGTTACCTAGCGATGAAAATGATCGCTACGAGTTACGCAGCAAGGCAAAGGTAGTTTTCCTGTTTTGTCATCGATCCCAAACTTCCAAATGTCACACAACGGGACTTACTAATTTACTTCTACTTGTTAATTATTTGTCCCTGGCCACCGAATGAAAAGCTAACGTCCTCAAGAAAGCGAAAGTCGGCCAGAAGCTAGGTTTCTTGTAAGTCTCTACGTCGAAGGTGTAAAGTGGGCTGATGCTGACAACAAAGTCCTAGATCACTGCCAGCCGAGTTACGCAACATGGTCTATGATCTCACTCTCGTACAAAGACGAATCATCATCAACTGTGATCGTCGCAACATGCGTTTTCGACACAATCAAAACCATCCTGTCTCTGGTCCTCTCTTACGCACCTGCAAGACGGTTTACGCTGATGCCAGAGCTCTACTGTACTCAGCCACATTCGAGCTTGAGAACATGGATTACCTCGAGAAATGGCTGAGAACCCTCGGTTCAGGAGCTGTCGACATACGAGACATCAGATTGACACGGTCATTCCAAGCATACTTCGCTCAAAGTTACGGAGTTAATCTCCCGGTGCGGAACCAAAAAGATTACAGAGCTACCACGCGACAGGTTGCCAAACTCCTGAGTGGCTGCCGACATCTCGAAAATCTAGAGTTGGGCTTCTTGTACACCAAGAAGTTCCGGACGACGCCCCTCATCGAGAACAAAGATAACCCTGCGTACTGGCAAAAGGAGGCACGACTTCTTGCCGAGATGGTGTTCCGCGATTTGTTCGTCCTGCTAGTAGCGGCTAAGGCTTCCGGCCAGACAGTGGACCAAGTGGCGAGCTTACCCCAAATCCACCACAAGAACTTTGAGTGTATCAAACACCATCCCTCCAATGTGGGGAATGGTAATCCACAACGAGAAACAGCTTGTCACATGAAGTTATTGATTGCGAAGTACATCGGAAATCGATCACACCCCCGGAAGCCAGGTAGCCGAGCTTTTTTGGCATAGTCCATCTATGTCACAGCAACCGGAAACTAAATGAGCGTCAACGGCTAAAGATGTGTCGAGTTTACTGGAAAGCGAGCAGCGTTCCAGCAGTTGGAATGCCCTCAATGATATCCGGTTATACGCGACAAAACGAGCAGATAGCGGCGTCACAGGCACCACAAGCATCGCAGGCGAGATGAATCGTGCAGTTGAGCATTTGATAACACCGGGAAACACGGCATCTGCTTGGGCAGCAGATGAAGACTGGCAGCGGATTAGGAAGAAAGTTGAAGGTCAAAAGCATCATAGCTATTAATCCCTGTATTTTACATTAGTTGTTAGCGGGAGGAAATGCAATTCGTAAATTGAACATGGCTTTACTTGCAAGCAACGCTGAGATATGCGGCTTATCCTGTTTATCAGCCTCGCGCATTCTCAAGGCAGAACATGATCCCTCAATGTATGCTAGTGATCAGTGATGTTTCAAGTAGGTTTTTGAAGGGGAAACCCAGCCGGAAAAGTAATCAAAGATTTTCATGTCTCTCATTGAAGGAGAGAACGATTTTTGTCATCATGGTGAGCGGCGTGGGCTTGTGGATAGGGAAGACTGAGAATGGACTTATCGCATTGAAGGCGGTCCATATTCGAAATCTCAGGCTCGAGAAAGAAAAGATGGTCAACGGACTGTTCTGCGGACTTCGGGGGAATTTGGGTGAAAGAGGTTAGCCTCTTTTGGGGCAAGCTTGGCCATGCCTTTCACCTGGAAACAGTCAGTCGCCCATCAATATTTCCCAATTCAGATGTTGCACAACTTTTAGATGCAGGAGACCCATCGAGCCACAGATAATTACCTAAAGCATAGAAGGACTTATTATCACGGATCGAGCATGCCATCATGATCAAACACATCACTCCGAGGCGACGCTTGAAATCAAACACATCCGCCTTTATCATAGTTTGTTGAAACAATTCCGTGGCGAATGGCGTAGCCGTTTGGCGCATTGGCCAGTAATTCCGGCAGGAATCAAGGAATGGTCTTAATAGTATGTAATGACTAGCCAGAGGATTAGGATCTGGTGTCTAAATTTGGCATTGTGATAACAAGGAAGAACATGGCTCGACTTCAAACAAAACATACCTCAACACTGGCCACTGATCCTAGCCCAAGTCTCCGAGCAATCTGTAACTGTTTGCGCTAACAAGCATTTCTAATCCACGTCTCGCGCAAAAGTTCAGAATACGTAATTTGAATGCTTATACGAATTTATAGGGTATCAAAATGGAGCTTCTGCTTCTAAATTACAAAGATTGGTATGGCCAAATGACATCGCTTTGTGAAAGTTGTCGTTGCCTCTGAACGTTGCCTGGTATCTCGTGATATTTGGCAGGTCGACTTCGGATTGCTAGCGGGACACGGAGGTACAGGACATAGGCCGCCGTACCGCCTTGCTTGAGTCGATATTGATTATGGCGACCCTTTGTCTATGCCAATGTGACAAGTATCGCTGGTGTCCTGCACCGTGGTTTGGTGTGGGGTTCACTTAAGGAGCGTTGTACTTCATGTTTGCGCTGTCTCTATCTCGGTGTTCGCAGTCTTTCGTAATGTTTGTGGTGAGTGCGTGGTTACTGCAACCTAGAGTTGCGTACATTAGTTTCTGCTGTTGACTAAATGGTCCATCATAGAGAAGATTTGGCTTACATTTTCGGTGTCGTTCAGTTGTTCACCGGTGGTTGATCCAGTAAATGAAGCCGCCCACACCAAATATACATGTACCAGCTGTGCACATAAGTCAGCTAAAGTTTCGGTTACAACCACGCAGCTCTGGTGTGAGTCCACTTACCCACTGCCAGTGTCTCTAGTACAGTGTGGTCGACGCTCCTTTTCATAATTTCGTGACCAACTTCCATCATCCCCTCCTGGATGAGTCGCGTATCGAGAACAGGCATGTTGATTAAGTGGGTAGTAAGGTAGATAAAGAAACGCGATTCCGAGGGACCAACGATAAGTGCAACTAATCAGAAGGAGACGCGCAACGATCGCCGGGATCAAGAAACTGAACGAGCCTTTCTTTTGCAGATGAACTAAAACAAAGTTGTGGTGCTGGGTGCCCATATATCATCAAATTCTAGGTCTCTCCGATCGCGTCGGTCCCACATCACAACCATGCCGGTGCGACGGGGGAGGGCCGGGGTTCGTGGGATAATCACCAGATAATGCCAAGAGATTCGAAGCGCCAACCTGGGTCTGTATGGTCATTCCCACACACGCGGGCTTGGGAATGGGCTCATGTCATCTCATTTCGGTTTCAAAAGGGGGTGCAGCAAATGCGAGAGGATTGCGTTATCACAGTCAGAGGAGATGGTCCCATTGACTAAAAGGTAGTTTCGGGGCCGCCCTTGAACTAGGCTGGTACCGGGCCTTGGGGTCGCATTCTCGTCGAAGAACCCCACCAACTCATCTGTCACCTGGGGTTTGTGGGTTTTTCCAACCTTGATTTACGGATCTACGAACCACTACCGATGACTACTAGACATTTGAACTAACTAGTCTACTTCAATGCACTGTCGCCTGCACGTCTAAGAAGTGAAGCCGTTCAGCCAACCATTCTTTTGTCATTCATATTTTCCATTACAGCATCTCCTGTCCTTTCCCCCTTCAAGTTTTACCAACAGCACAGCCTCACACCATTGTCCTGCGACTTTATCGCGATGTGAAGCCCAAGTGAGTCCATTCTGAGGCGAGAACAATGTGGCCCCCCACCGTTTCAGCCTCCTGAAACAAGGAGGATCTACGGAGAGTTGCGTGAACCCCTGCCCAACTGAATGCCGCGTCGGCTCATCTACCCTCTCCGTCCGCCGGCCGGAGCATTTTATTACATTAGACGGCGAGGAGTTCCTCATCGTCCAATGTCAGGAACCAATCCAGCGATCACGTTCCTCGGTTGTGATCTTACGGGCAAGTGGAAACGAGCGCCGCTTCAGCCGCATCGGATTGCTAGACACCACTCGCTCAACTTCGTCCTATTGAAATTTCCGAGTCCGACTGGCTTAAATGCCCACAGCTCAACTGTCCATGAATGGCTCATTGCAATAAAGTTTTTACCTTTTGTAACGCTGCTAGCCAAGCTACAAACCTCACTTGGCAGTTGTGTCTCCCCCGATGTGACAAGCCGCGACGTCTTGGCCAAGCTCTTGGCCTCGTGTCTTCCAGCGCTGCCACGTCGGCACTTACGTGATTTGAGACGACCCAAGAATTTTCGGCCGCAGAAATAATCAACGGCATCTTCTCCACCTGGCAGTACCCACGGTTGTGGAAAGCACCCGTTCAACTTTCGAAGAACAATCGAACAGGCTCGGTGGTGATCTTGTCGACCAAGGATTTTTATAAAGTCTTTTGCCTAGCCACTCAACCCAGCCTTTTTTCGCCCCTCTATCAAGCCTACACCAATGGAGAGCCTAGACATCAGCGCCACTGTGACGCGAACGTAGATAAGAAGAATACCACCTGTGCATTAGTTCGGTAGCCGGATGATGCAGAGGATACCACACCAACTCTCATCGATGTGCTTCATCGTTCAGGGGCTCGCGTTGCAAAAGCCGTGTGAGGAATTCTAACTGATAAACTTGCCATCCGTCGTCGAAGCTTTGGTTATGCACAGCCTTCGTCGACATGCGTTGGAGTCGGTTCACGGTATGATACCTCGGAGCCGGTCATCCAGCTCAATTCTCCAATAAATTCGGCAAGTGGATTGTTTCAGTAGAATCAATGATGAGGCTTCAGGTTCCTGACCATGTTCCATTGACAGCAACCAGGAATGGAGCTATTATTTTCTAATTCTCTTAGGGTAAGCGATGTCACCATAGGATTTCAAGGCTGAGGTTGCGAGATGGATTCTGCGGCTACTTGATATCCAGGACTGAAAGGAAAAACATCAACACTTGGATTGCCGCAAACGCGACGTACTGTGGCACTAATCTCGAAGGTCGAATCTCGCCGCAGATCGCGAAACGTAAGGTAGGTATTGATCCAAATGGGTCAAGTAACTTCATCTTGAGGTTCTCAAGAAATCGACCCAATGCATAAGCTCATGCTGTCCTGGTATACCTCATGTGTTCATAATGTCTCGGCAATGGGCATATTGGATCAAATTTTCGTTCAGAACTTAGCCAAAGGACATTCTTCTCATTGAAGAGCTCATGCATACGGGCATACTCGTGAAGTGAATGACGAAGCAGAACCCCCACCCCCGAGCCAAATCATAGGACCTAGATACGTTGACTTAAGGTAGTTTAAAGCGCACTACTGACCTCTATCAAGTCAGAGCAACCATGAATAGAACTTGCCGATACCAATGCGGATCCAATTCTGAGTCGGGCGAGCCGGAGGAAGATCTTAGAACGATCCTAATCGTTCCCTAGCAGAGGTTTTCCGAAGCTCAAGCGAGAAACATTGAGCATTCAAACCAACGAATATATCGCCAGGTGGGATATGTCAGATCTAAGGTACGTGATGTACCACATGCCCACGGGCAAGTCGGTCAACCAGGATAAGATGTCAACAATATGGAAGGAAACTGATAGAGGAGTTGTAATTGAATCCTTTTCAGTCAGGTTAGTGAACTCCCGAGAAGTTTGATGTTGCCTTTTGTTCTACCTCGTTACGGGAACTTCATCGCAAGCCCCCTTTCAAGAGACTTTCAACGAATGCTTCTGCCGTACTTAATCAGAGTAGTAAATAGCTGGCATACGCATAAACGAATTACACTATAATTAAACAGACTGAGAGCAAAGCGCGTATAAACTAAAGAATATAGAGGGAGAACTGTACTTCAGACAGACAGTTGAATTGCACTTGAAAACACACATTCAGATAGACTTTGCTCATTTTGCTCGTCTAGATTGCCATTCGGCTTTTTCTATGTGCTGTGCTCCTTAATGTATCCCCTGACAACCTCCCGCAAGTCACTTTGGGGAAGTTCCAGAATCTTGTTTGCCTTATCTTCCTCCTTGATAGTGTGGCCGGGTACGTCGCCAAACCAGTACTTTTGCAAAAACTCCTCAAAGGGGAAACGTCCCCCAGCCTTGAGCTTCTCCTTGCCCTCCTTCTCTGCCTCATCGGCAGTCTTATGCTCGACCGTGAACTTTGACCCCGTCTCCTCCTCAAAGAGCTTGTGGAGCTGGTTCTGTGTGACTTCGAATTCTACAATGTTGATGTACTTGTTGGCGGTTTCGGCGGGGTGTTGCAGCACCGCGACAATGCCCTCAGCGAGGAAAGCAAGCGACGTCGTCGAGACCTTTTGGTTTCCGGAGTCGAAGATTGTGATGCTCTTGTTTTCGAGTGAAATGCCGTAGATTCCTCGGGTGATGCTCTGTTAGGAAGCGGTTAGTTACACCCTCAGGAAGTTAGACAAGTTGAAGTGTCGATGGCGAGGACTTACCCAGTCGAAGAAAAGACTTGTTCCAATGCCAGTCCAGGTAAAGCTTGGGTTAGCCTCCGCCTTCTTGATCAAGTAGTCGACAGCGGCCGTCTTGGACTTGAGCCAGTCCCCAAGAATCTCACCCTCCAAGGTGCGTGTGTTGAGGCCATACTCGGATGGGATGAAGCGTTTCACGCCAGCAGCGATCGCCGCATCGATGAGCGGGTCTTGTGAACCGGGGACGATTACAGCGACAGTGGAGATGGCAGAGATGACGGCATCCTGACCGGCAAAGGCGGCCGTGAGGGACTCAACAGACGACAGGTCTGCCTTGCGGACGGCGACGCCAGATGGGAATGTTGCGGTGGAAGCTTCACGAGAGATGGCCGTTACTTCAAATCCCTTTTCTAGGAGGGCTTTGACGACTCGCAGACCAACGAGGCCGGATGCCTAGATTCAGTTGTGAGCTTCGGTCTCCTGTCGCAGTGTTGTCCAGTCACTACTTACACCAACGACGGCAACTGTTTTGATGGACATTTTGAATAGTATTTGATATTGATCGACGAATAGAGCGCAACAAAAACCCGAGAGAGCGAAGACTTCGCATGCAAGGCACCAGATCTAGCTATTTATACGTGAAGATAGAGCTTACGAACAAGGGGATTTCTGCCCCTCCAACCCCTCCATCCCCGTCATGAACTCTAAGGTTTGCGCCATCTGGCATGCCGGTTCTGGTTCCGCGGAGTGCAACCCTACGCGGGGGCTCTATATTCAAGCTTCCCCGAACACAAAAAATAGTGACACTTTCGCAGCGATACCCACGCAGTTGCCCTTGCATCATTTTAGATCGACGATATGCCGCTGGTGGCCCTGGCAGAGCCTGGCAAGGTGGCATGAGACCCCATATGGTCCTTGTTTATGGGTCGAAGCCCGGGTGTCCTTGCCGGGTAGCAATGGCGAGTCAGGGCACCCGGCTCCCACTTTGTGCAACCTGTTATCTAGACGGCTCCCACTCCTCACTTTCCACCGTCCATTAATACGGAGTAGGTTCTTGAATAACTTGGCGCACACTTCCATAGCCCTCGGTTCCTCCAGGCGGTTCCTTCGCCATCGGGACTGGCCGTCTGCGGTACCTGACGGCAGCACCGTGACAGGGGGTTTCCGACATTCCGCACCTGGGTATGCTTGAAGATAAACTGCCGCAGCTGCGAGCCGAACATGGGTCACGGCTGCGGCCCGGAAAGAGATTTAGCTCCGTGGAGTCCATTGCTACTGTGACGTAGCTGGCAGTCGCACTGCCGGCCCATCTCACGAGATCCTTCGTCTCTTCAACTTGACAGCTTTGAGAACAGGACTCAATTGGGCTTGAGCCACCTATATCAAAAAGTGGCAATCTCGTCGTCTAAGAACCCCATGACCAAATCACATTACTCGTAGATCAGGTATCGGAAATGAGTGATGATATCTCTGTATAACTTTTTGCATGTAACTAATCATATGTACAACACAGCCAAGGAGGCATCTCAAACCGCCTTGTTCAGCTTCCAGCCACCAGCAAACCCGCGCGAAATGCAAATCGTGACACCGCTAGCCGCAAGGCAACATCCCGACCAGATCCAACCGCTCAAGTATCCATGCGACCTGGACAGCGCACCAGCAATCGGCGATCCGAACAGGAGTGCCACCGACATGACAGTAAATGCCATGCCAAATCTGGTGCCCATGTAACTTTTGTCAGCTGTAAGCTTGACGAACGTAGTCGGCTGCAAGCCGAAGAATGTTCCGCTGAAGAAGCCGTACACCACAGTGACGGCAATGAGTGAAGCCTGGCTGTTCGTCGCCGCGAAGCAGAAGGCGGCAATCGACATGACGAAGACGGCGCTAGCAATCATGTTCATGATGCCAATGTAGGGTGCAAAGAAGTTGGGGATGATGCGCCCAACAATAGAGGCGCCGTTAAGCATCGAGAGAAGGTAGAGCGCGACATTCTCGCTGGCCATGTGGTTCTCGAGGGCGTAGCTCTGCACGTAGACGTACGGCGTGTACATGCCCAGGAAGAGCAGACAGCAGGCGCCGAGGAAGAGAAGGAACGGGAGGTCGTGGAAGACGGACTTGTCGACGAGCGGTCGCCGCTTGAGAGGGATCTTGAGCTTCGATGTCTTGATGACGAGGTTGGCTACGCCGAGCGTCACAAGCGCGATGAGCGCGAAGACGAGGACTGTCCATCGGAAGCCGATCTTAGGTTGGATTGCCCGGAACATTGCTGGTAGGACGAGACTGCGCACAATGTTAGTCGACTCTAGGCTCTAGGCTCTCGCTCAAAGCGACACTTACCCCCCAACACCGCTACCGTTGGCCGCGATGCCATTGGCAAGCGCGAGCCTAGTAGAGAACCATTGCGATGGGAGTGCGACGCCTAGCGTAGACAGACATCCGGTTCCCAGGCCGATGATGAGACCCTGGCAGAGTAGGAACTGCCACAGGTTCTGGCAGAAGGCTTGGAGGATAAGCCCGATCAGCACCAGGATGGATCCTACCACCAGCAGGTATCGTGAGTAGCCCAGGTCGTAAATTGGGCCGATGATGAAACCCAAGAAGACCATAAGGAAGTTCTGCAGGGAACCAATTGTCGAGATCTCAAAGGCAGTGTTGTTTTTCAGGAGATCAGACTGGTAGTAGGCCTGAAAGGCGCCGAAGCTCGAGATGAGACCTGGAACGATACCCGGTCAGCGAACCACATTCCAAGAGGAGGTTGCCCCATGTTGGCGTTGCCGCTGCAACATCTCACGATGGTTGCATCGCGTAAAATGCGAGTCTAAAGATCGATCTTGCTTACCCCATGTGTTAAAGTAGATGAAGAAAGACCCAAGGATGTGGAGCCATGCTTGCAAACCACCGTCTGGAGGTCCAGCAGGGGTTGTTGTTGACTTCTCTGCAGTAGGTGATGCTTGAGACGATGATGTCGGAGGGCTGTCGTTACTGCTTGTGTTGTCTGTCGCAATAACGGAGGTATCTATCGCGGCCTCGCGTGTGCTGGCGTCCTTCCCCTGGTCCCTTGGACTTTCATTCGAAGTTGAAGCCATTGTCGACTGAGCAAATCATCCGAACCCAGATCCGTCCTATGTTAGCGGCTCAGGGCGGGATGCCAAAGTCTATCCCGGCTTCAAATGATCTGAAAGATTGCGATAACCGCCTTATCAGTGCGCCAATGCGACAAAGTAGAGAACGAAAGAAAGTTTAAGTGATTGAAAGGGGGTGTGTGAGTTAGCATCAATTGGACAATGCAGGGTCTCAGTCGAGAAACGCGGTTCGGCAGTAGGCAAAATACTCCCGAGCCACGTCTTCTTACGCTCATCTAAGCAAAAAATTGCGTTGTCAAAGGCCCCTTTTTTCATGGGTTGTGGGGAAATTTTTTGCCTTGGAATTTTTCTTCTTATTCAATCGACTGACAAGATGAGCCGATGGTCTTGTATTGATTCAACCCACTTCCCTGTTCTCAATGCAACCCTTTATTGTTGATGTGATCGGGTCCCCCGACAGTACCCGCTCCGCACCGCGGCACCTGCAGGAGATCGCATCTACAATATTAGATGTGGCGCCTCGGTATGGCATCGGAACAAAACCGTCTTGAATTCATCCTTGGGAATGGATAATCTTCAAGTTAACAACAGGTGCCCTAGGTGTCAGGTTCTACCAAACTTGCAATCCGTATTATTCAAAAGCATCGCTTGACACGGCATCTATGAGACTCAATTCACTCCTCCCATCTTCTCTCAGATGGATGGCCAAAAACATTGAGAACGTGCTGGCGAAAGCGAGACCTCGGCCGGTGCCCGGGAAGGATCATCAGAGGTGCGGAATTCAAACCGGCGACAGCGCCAGTTTAGGCAGGCTAGCTCACTGATCTGCCGCGCGCGTCGGGTCGCCACTGGGGCAGAGTCCAGGGTTATGCTGGCCAGAATGCAACGGGTTTGACAACCTACCAAAATGGGCTGACAACCCATCCACAGATCCAGCGGGATAGTTTTGCCCATTTCGGGTCAGAAACTGGGGCCGGCTCTGACCATGTTTCGGCCGTTCTCTATTGACCATTGGTCGTGCGTTTTCGGCACTGACCGTTCACTGCTCGAGATTGTCGTAACCAAATTGAGATGGTATTGAAGAAATGACGTACGGTCATCACTATCCGTCGTGTTGTTTAGGTTCAAAGTAACCATGGTTGCCATGGAAGCTGGGCCGAACAACACCTTTTCTGAAAGTGCTCTGCTCAGCCCTGCACTATCGTCATTCCCATTGATCAAATTTGATTTAACAATAGGAAGACGACCAGAGCAAGTCAACCAAAGGCTTTCAGAAAAAATCAATAGGGGAGGAGGGACTGGTATTGGCTGTTCTGACTAGGGTGTCTATTGCACGGACGCGACAACCCGGGGGTTCATGTTAAGAAGGGCGAACACTTCACGCGCCCATTCCAAGAGCTCAATCTTGCGCACTATAACAAGAACTGGCGGCAATATTTAAAGATCGCAACGGCTATCCATCATCATCATATCTTGATATGTCACAATGCAAGCGTATCATCAGATTTGCCGGAAACTCTTGTTTAGTGGCGCCACGCATAGAATGCAGATTGGCCGGGCACTTCGAGAGGACTCTTGATGAATTCGGTCTAGAATAATCAATCTCCAAGATTCCTCGTCATTGAGATAATGGGCACAAAGCGACCTGTCATCGTTCATGGTCGAGAAGCTTCTAGAATTCTCAACCTCATTGTGCTTACGCCCTAAACTTGATCTGGATCCTAGGGCAACTACACTTTCCTTGGCGACAAGGTTCCGCGACCTGAAATACCTCGTGTTGCTACTAGAAAGGAATGTTCCAGTAGAAAGAGAAAGGATTTACGCTGTATGGTTGGACGCCCTCAAGAGTTCATGCATAGTCAATTGCTAGGTTAGCAAACATGTTCAAGTTGAGATGACAGTCAAAGGGCGTCGCTTAAGCAGGCAACAACGTCTTACAACTTCTGTAGGCTTCTCCAGCGGCTGGGTTCGCTCTAGGGGCGGGGAACTGAGACTGTATCGTTAAGATTATCACGCACCAGATGTTTTGGAAGAACAGCTGGCAAGTGTAAGTAACAGTCCCTCAGGATGATCGACGGATACACATAAGTAAGTGAGTTTATCATGGATCCGAGAGTTCGGGAAACAAATGAACAAGGAAGTATTATCATTTAGCAAAGACACAACCTTCCAATCTTCACGACTTTCAGAATCATTGTACAATGTCTTCAACATCAGTTTTATCGAAGACGCTTCAGTCCATCACCAGTACTAAGATTCGCGAGTTGGAGAAGCAACGAACTCAGTACGAAAACCGCAAGGCCAAAATCCTCCAAGAGGCCGAAGAACACATCAACCAGGGCGACCGTATCAGCTGCTTGCTTCGAGGGGTCAAGGAACTTTACGCAAAAGGACGCGACGACAATCCTAGCATCGACAATATCGACAACTTGCTGGCTCAGTCCAAATATGACACGTCAGTGCCTCCGTCAATGTTGCAGTCATCCGAGGACCTGTTGAGGTCTAAGCTTGACGTACAAAGCCATAAGCTTAGCATGGCTCACTTGTACTCCCGACTTGTTACCGAGTGGATCAATCCTGGAAGTCCCATGGAGGATTCCGACGCCGCCAAATTGTCAAAGGAGGACTCCTCTTTCGAGGTCATCGACCAGGAACAAGAGCGTCTTCAGAACCTCCGTAACCAGTTCGAGAAGGTGGTGTTCACACCATTGGAGACTGACGAGTCGGAGATCAATGCATATCTGGCAAGTCTCTTCAAGACGAGGGAGAGTGAAAGGGCGCTTGAGGACGTACGGCAACGGACCGCGCGAGCGAGCGAGGACTTTCTCAAGAGACGGAACCCGTTCACCACTACCACGCTGAAGATGTGCATTGCCAGCCTCCTCCAGCAGGATCTCTTAAGCGATGAGAAACAGGCTATCTTACGCGAGTTCGAGTCCAACAATGTTGTTCTACGGGAGATCGCGGACGTCCTTAACACAAGGTTCGTCGATTTTGAGAACTGGGAGTGGGACGCCGGCGAGGATGGAGTATCGTACGTTCCGCGCCAGCAAGCCAACGGCAAGTACCGCATCTGGATGGACGAAGATGTACTGCAGGCTATCTTCATTCACTGGGTCGGTATCAACAGCTGCGTGAGCTTGAAGCGGACCCTCACAGACCTTGTTTCTCTGGACGGGACCAACCAAGTCTGGAGGTGGCACGCTGAGCCATCCATGACTGAGAGGCAGATTCAGCGGCGAGCCTATTATCTCAGCGAACTTCCCACCCTGGTTCTTGATGAATCCTCGCATTCAGCAACAACGAGATGGCCTAGGGGAGGTACCAGGGGGCGCGGAAGAGGTGGAAGGGGAGCATTCTTCCGGACTACCCAACGTCGACCTGCAATCTCTGATGATACGGTTGCAGGTCTTCGCAGGAAGAATTTCATTGATCACTTTTGCCTCGCCGCCCTGCCGAGCCAGGTAAACACGCTCAACGAGGAGATGTACGACGATGGAAGAATGTCAGAAGAGGAGGACGACGATGATGTTTCCTCGTCTGAATGGGGAAAGGCCAAGAAACCGGTCTTGAACATCAAGCAATTTCTTTTGCGCACGATTGCAACTGAGACGATGCTTCATCAAGCGCTTGATGGCACAGCTGCCGCGTTGCAGTCTGATCTCAAGTGGTTCGGGGCCGGCCTGTCCCACACGTCAATCTTTGCCGTCCTCCGCTTCTTTGGGTTCCCAGAGAACATGCTTGCGTTCTACCGGAAGGTTCTTGAGATGCCGGTGAACCTAGGCTTCATTTCGTCTTCCGAGTCAGAGTCCACATCAAACGCACCGCGCATCAGGCGCAGGGGTATGCCGATGAGTCGATCGCCAGCAAAACTCATCGGCGAGTTGGTCTTGTTCGTGATGGACTTTGCCGTCAACCAAGAGACAGGGCTACAACTATACCGCCTGCATGACGACCTGTGGGTTGCAGGTAGTCCTGCGGACACTGCTAGGGCATGGGCTACCATGCAGCACTTCGCCAAGGTTATGGGGTTGGAGTTCAACATGAAGAAGACTGGCTCGGTGTACTTGACCAATGAAGGAGTTCCTCGAGATGAAGCTCTTGATGAGCAGTTGCCTAAGGGTCCTGTCAGCATCGGCCACCTCGTGCTCGACCCTAAGGCTGGAAAGTGGACCATCGACCAGGCGAACGTCGCGGAGCACGTGAAGCAGCTTCAGAAACAACTTGCCGAGTGTCGAAGCATCCTCGACTGGGTACGCACATGGAACAGCTGCATCGGCCGCTTTTTCGGTCAGGCGTTTGGAGAGCCGGCCTATTGCTTGGGCAAGGAGCACGTTGAGAGCGTCTTACGAACCTACCAGAAGATGCAGCACGACATTTTTGCGCCATATTTAGCTGGCACCGGCGACGAGTCGATTGCCGGCGCGGCGAACAGCCAACTCAGTGCAGTTCACTACATCAAGTCCAAGATCAAGCAGCGTTTTGGTGTCTCGGATGTGTCGGACGCCTTCATCTTCTTTCCCGACCAACTAGGTGGCTTGGGACTCCAAAACCAGTTCATACCATTTCTTAAGGTCCAGAAACACCTGTGTGGAATAGGGGTATCACCAGAAGAGATGATTCAGAGCTTTTTCGATCGAGAACGCAATGACTACGAGGACAAGAAGAGCACATTCATGTCGAACAAGGCCACTGAGGCGCGTGAGCTAGGGGATGAGCCCCTCAGCCGATTCGACGCGCAATTCCTCAGCCCAGAGGACTTGGAGACTTTCTTCACCTACGATGAATTCACCAAAAACAGAAGTACCACGAGCAGTCACTTGAAAGAACTCTACGAGCGTGTTCAGGGGACCCCAGCCGTGCTCGGCCCTAAGGCTGACCGGCAAGTTTATCAGGTATTGGAGGACTTGCCCATTCAATCGGCCAATTTACGGTCTGAGCTGAGATGGGTGGTCCAGATGTATCATCAGGAGGCGAAAGAGCGATTCGATGGTCTTAGGCTC